GTTTCTTTGCTACTGCTTCCTTTTTTTGATGAAAACACGTATTTATAGACTAAATTAGTACACAGAACTTGTTTATTTTCCATTAACGTCACTGCTTGTTTTCCTCTCTAATTCTATTCATCGGCTATATTCTATAACTGTCATTACCAGTTCTAAAACCTTATTCATAACAGAGCGGCGCAGACGGAACTCCGCAGGATCACATGTTACCAGCAGAGTTCCCACTGCAGTTTAAGGATCATTAAAGCCCCGGTCATGAATTATTAACCGCGTCTTGTCACTGCCGACTCTCTCCGTCACTCATCGTTGGGTTGGCGGTCAGACCGCCGTCCGTCTGGCGGAATTCATCAGACTGATTGAAAAGCCCCCCCCCCTGCTTTTGAAGGTTGAAGTGAGGAGGTGAGACCCTCGGGTGCAAACGGCTTTCGCGCCTTCTCCTCTTGTGTTGTGTTATTCACGGCCCGGCCCGAGTGAGAAAAGCTGCCGGCCCCAAAAACAAAAGGCGTCGTCTGCGGGCCGCAGGACGCCTCCGCGCCGGGGCCCTCGTTCAGCCCGTCTGTCCGTCCGTCTGTCTGGATGGGAGGAGGCCGAGTGTCGTCTCGCGACAGAAAAGGAGACACTTTAATACGTAGACGTTTGTGTTTGTGTTTTTTTTTTTTTAAAGGGACATTTCGCAGAGCTCAGCGCTCGTTTCTTCCACGGATCGGAAACACACGGATCCCGCCTCCCTTTTTTGATGTGCCGACTGTCTGTCCCCGGGGGGGGGGGGGGGGGGTTGATGGCCTCTTTACTCTCCTCCTATGTAAGCCAATATGAGGCAGCTCGACATCTGTGGAAATTGATACCTGTGCTGAATCATACTATTGAAGAGCTCCTCCATCTTCCTTTCCGCTGTCCCCCCCCCCCCCCCCCCCCGCCCCCCGTCTCCCTCTGAGGTGACGCGTCTTGTCTTACGGATTGAGATCCAGGAGACACGGCTGCCAGGCCGCGGCCGCATTTCAACCGGAAATAGACCAGTTCTTCTGAGAAGGTGAAATATGAACGCCAGGGCCCATTATTTTTAATAATTCATGTTTTTTTTAGTACTACCAAGATGCCAAAGAAGGTTGAGATGACGAGAGGACAGGATTGTACACAGTCAGTACTTTTTAATTAATGAATATATCGGAGAGGCTGAGATACATCAGCCTACATTTCAAAGGCAATGTGTTAAAACTGTGAGCTTATTATCGCCCCCAAATTCATTTAAAGCAAAGTATGACTGAACATGTCCGTCTCCACGGAATTATTCCGACAGTCAAAAGCTGTTTTCGGAAAGTCCTTTTTCGTCACCCTAAACCAGCCGGCAAAACCAACGTTTGTCTATTGGCGGGATTAACGGCGCCCCGCTAAAGGCGCCCCCTGCTTCTCTAGTGTCGCTTTTCTGCAGGACAGTTGTGAAAACATCAGCCGTGACAACAGAGGAGCAGAAGCCGCTGCCAGATGACACCTCCCAGCCTCTAATGGAGATACAGTGTGAGGAGGGGGAGGAGGAGGAGGAGGAGGGGGAGGAAGATGGTTTGTGCCACTGCTGACTTGTCACTGCCAGCCCAGCAGGCTCATCCTGCTCCTGATTAATGGAGCTGTCCGTTGGGCCTCGCAGGGGAAGAGCGGGGCTCTTCTCCCGTCCCCAGAAGCCCCCGTTTATTTTCCCACAACAGATGGGCCCCCCGGGGCCTCGGGCTCGTTTGCACCTTCTGCGCTCGGCATCCTTCATCTTAATCAGTAAATCGGTTCCAGAGCACGGAGCCACGCGACCTACAGGCGACCTCTGTTACTTGTCCTCCTTCGGATGCTCTAGAAAACAACAATTTCTTCCTCTGCGCGTCCTCACCCCCCCCCCCCCCTGTCCCAGGAGACGGGCCCGATGTGGTCGTCCTTCAGGGCCTTAATGTAGTGTGATGTTAGTCACAAATCCATGATGGAATACGCCAGTTTTTCTCCTGTAATAGGCATCACTACTCCACATCATTATAATTCACATGGCTGTTTTAAAGGGCGCCCTGGACATATTTGGGGGGGCCGGTCTCCTGCAGTTAGACGTTAAATCCATAATGAAGTGAATGTATCAAGCATTTCTCGAATATAAAAGTTTCTCTCCCTTTCAATTGTCTTTCTTTGAATGGACTGAAAGATGAGAATCCGGTTGTTATTGATCACAATGGAACCAATCCGGGGTTTTTTTTAAGGCGTTGCTTCGCTGCTCATCAACACAAAGTCATTCCGCTCCAAGGCTTTTTCTTTTCAATGCGATCTAATGTTATGTTTATTCGTCATTCATTCAGGCATAAAGAAAGGATTATTTTCACCGTCTCAATTTCCTTAATTGATCAATTACTGGTCAGCCAATTTAACATTTTCTGTTTGAGAATGTGTTTTTTCTTCTTTTTTTTTTTTTTTAATCGCCAGTTTCTGCCAAATTAGACAAACGTAACACCAGACGGGAGAAGAAGAAAAAAAACACGCTTGTCCCCAGAAGCGTGTCTGCCATGTCTCCTGAGCCTTTTATTCACACAGCAGATTGTCTCCGTTTGTCTCAGATTCAAAAAGAATTCCACTTGGAACGGAGAAGACGGCCCTGGAACTGCCCGCTAATCGTCGCAGGCGCACAAATCCTTTGTTTTAACCCTCAGCTTTTTTTTATATTTCCTTTTGTGGCGGGTTGGACGTGTCTTATCCTCTCTCCTCTGGGGGGGACATTGGACATTGTTTCCTGACATCCTGCTGATGACTGTTGTTTTCTTTTCACTATCGGGGAAAAGCAGAACGGGACTTTTTCAGTTGCTGCTGATTCACCGCAGATTAGATTGCTTTCCCCGGGCGTGAGATCGCTTGGTTTCACTCTGTGACATGAGGCATTTATAGTTGGGGCTTTAATGCGTTCCGTTATACGCGCATGCTGTGAATATAAAGGGGACGGCTCTTTTTATGTCTTGTGACATCGATTCGTGTCCGAAGCATTTGCGACAGATTTCAGCTCATCGCATTAAGTAACTGCTTCCTTCCGCTGATTATTTTCCTTGGAAGTTTTTTTTTCTCTACTAAGAGGGGAGTAAAACAGATGCTTCATGAGGGAGAATTAGCCAGATCTCTAAATGTAAACTGATTAAGGATTAGTGGAGTGCGGCTCTGTCTCTTTTCCGCTCCCCTGAAAGTCAACGTTTCCCTGCCTCTCCCTGCAGCACACGTTTTAATATTCCTCGAAACTCTCACTGCATTTTGGCTCAGCGAGGATTTATTTTGGCTGAAGAAAGTCGCAGGGGCAGTTTTGGTTACACTGCTGCAGAAGTAAGCGGTTTAATGCTTAAAATCCAACAGATTTTCACACCTCCGTCACCATTTGGCCTTCAGTAAACACCGGGCCGCGGAGGTTAACCGTCCTCACGCGGTACGCTGGCAGTTTACAATGAAAACCGTGGCCGATTGGCAGATTTATCATATTTGAAATACTCCCACAGACGCGGATTTATCAGCTTTTCGATGGCTAGCTAATCCTTTACATCTATTGTTTGGTTGAACACTTTGTCTCCTAATTTATAATGTTTTCAGCTGTGTTTTTAAAAGAACAAACCGGATGTTCGAGCTAATCCTTTAATTAAGCATCAAACGCCAGCCAACGAGTGCAGAGAAAGTCCGCGTTGGGAGGAGGCCGAGGCGGCTTCTGCACAACTCATCAAGTGGTTTCGTTGGCTGGATTCCACCTGACGGAGAACGAACACTACAACGCTGGTCTGCAGAGATGCGCGTTGACCACATTTTATTCCGGCGACCGATGAGTCAATCAATACATCCCGGGGAGTACACGTCTTTGTACACCTCCTTCCTTTGTGGCGGACAACGGTTCGCTCTTTGTCTGCGATGCCCTCACATGGTGTTCCAGCCCACCTCCGTTTTAATCTCTCTGGGCGCGAGCCAACTCTAAATGCACAGATCGCCGCTTTTCACAGAGACAGCAGTGTCAGCAGGGCTGTGCTCCTCCGCTGAGGCCCCCGGTGCTAAACCCCCACCCCCAAACCCCCACCCCCACACCCACACCCCGGGTCCCTGCCTCCCATGCCCCGAAAAGGAGGTGGAACCTGCGGGACGGGGCTCTGCGGCAGTGGCCTGGTCCTCATCAGCCGGTGGAGGTGTTTTTCATTCATTTACTCCGCAGCGCGACTCTGCCTTTAACATTAAACAAGCAACGGTCGACGTGTAAATATTTAGCCTTCTGTGTTTGAGCGAGTTCAAAAGCTGTGGATGAAATGGGGGGGAGGGGAAGGGGGAGAGGGGCGAGGGGGGACACGCTTCAACTTCTGCACCCCTAATAAAAGAAACAGAATTAAGTGTCTGTGAAAAAAAGAAACTCCCAGCTAAACCTTCAGTTTCATTGTAAGAGGGCGGCCATTCATCACAAACCTGTCCTTTCTAATGTAGGACGCCGCTGCTTCCAGTTTTGTCCCCCGAGTTTCCCACCACCGGTTGTTGATTAATGCGCCTGCGATTTAAACTCCACCGTCGCGTAGTACTAGGTTAGCCATTGGCATGCCTCGAAACGCGGCGTGCTGGGACGCGTGAGGGGGAAAAGGGTCACCGGGGTCGGGGGAGGAGGGGCGGCTGGTGCAAAGTGGCGGCATGAGAGGTAATTTTAGACGCCGGCTGGAAAACGGGTGTCCGCTCTTTAGACTGATCAGAAAGGTCACGACCCCCCCCCTTTTTTTCTTCTTCTTCTTTTCTCCAAGTGCGGGAGAGGAACACGTACGGCTTCTTCATTTTGAGTCCTTCCTGAATGTGAAATCCTCACGTTGATGAAGACAAGATATTTCTTGGTTTTAAAGGTTCTTCCCCCTTTTTGAAGAGAGCAAATTTGAGTCATTGATTCTTGAATACGCCCTTTTTCATCTCCTCGACGTTAATTTGTTATTTCTCCCCTTTTGTATCTTTCATCCCTCGACTGCTTCCGTTTCTTCCTCGGCGTGCAGAGCTTCAGCCGCTGTTACTTTTTGATGAATCAGATCTATCTGCAGCACGAGAACCGAGGAGCTGACGTCGTGGGAAAATGTCAACGCTCATATTCTGTGAGTTGATGCGTTCTGTATATTAACAATCTAAAGGAAAGAATACAAATTAAGTCATCCAAAGAGCCCCAAACGTTGTGCCCAAGTATGTCACTAACGTTTACTTTATTATCCGTTATCTTTCACTCAAAGTCTGTCTTTTTCTGCCCTAAAATGCAACCGAGTTAGAAGTGTTTCTTCCTTCTGTGCTTCTGCCAGGAAGCAGATTAGAGGAGAGACATTGAAAAACCCCCAATTAAGTTTGATAATGGTGTGGTTCTTACAACAGGAAGTGCACATCGAAGGTCGACGCGCGTCCCGGATGTCGGGCGATTGGATTTGTGTGGGATGTTACTCAGAGGCTGGGTTAGGGTTGAAGTTGAAAGAAGAATAAAGGGGGTGAAATCCCATGAATGTGGACGCTGACAGATGGTCTGATATCGGCGTGTCGATCTGTGTGAGGAGTCGAAAGGCTCCTCTTTTTCTACGCCGGGTGCTGATTACACACACAAATGTACACATTGTCAAAGGAAGTCGGCAAGTTAGTTTGTGACCCAAAGAGACCTCGTTTTTTTCTGTTCCAAAACCGCAATGTGATCTCGACCTCCTTTTTGTGAATATGTGGTATTACAACGCAGGCCTCAACCCCCTTGATGAACATATATATATATATATATATATACATATATATATATATATATGTGCCCTATATATATATATATATATACATATATATATATATATATAGGGCCTATTTGTAGTCGTGGACCAAAAGTATTATGTTCGTTAGAAAATGGTGAAGGACAACAACTTCCCAGAGCCTGAAGGGTTTGAAGTTGAAATGATAAATCTCACTAATCAATTAAACCTACTGTGCTGTCAATGCACAGTATTACACAATACTCGCACAATCAACCCCGGAACAACACAACCCTCTCCAGTTCTCCCGTGACGCAACCGATCGGAAGTCATTAGTCTCTGCCCGTCACGCGGGACGTCGCTCCGTCCCACGCCCCCCCCCCCCCGTCCCACGTGAACAGACGTGTATTGAGTCAAAGCGGTAATTGACAGAGAGCCAGTTAGTGAAAGTGAGTTTGTCAGAGGAAGCCAATGAATGAGAATAGAGCCGTTCGGATCAATGCTGTACAGCCAAAGAGTGAATGATGCTGATTCTTTATTCCTTCGTAACACAAAGATGAAAACCTCCAACTGTATTCACTGTGTTTTAGCATCGAGAATATAATAATAAAATGGTTTCTCATGCAAACTTGGGAAACTGTGACAAAAATATTTGTTAGAAAAACATTAATCTCCTGTTGTGCGAGCCTGGTGGCCGCTTCGCTTTTCATTAGATGGAGCTCATGTGATGGAGCTGAGCGTTAAGTGTGAGCGAACAAGAAGGTTTTTATATCTCCCGGCCAGTTTTCTACACGTGAGACATCCGATTGTTTACATTCCTCGCGCGTCGCATTCACGAGTTACGGCTTCACGACGAGCCAAACGAGCCGAGCTTCTGTCCGTCTCCTTCCATTTGCAGCGGTTTCATGAAGGGCCGCCATTGTTTTTAATTAATTAAGGCCGTTTAAGCGTCCAAAGTTCTCCAGGCTGAATGCTCCCCGTCTCGCTCGTCTTTGTCCTCGCTTCTTCAGAGGAAGAAGAAGAAGAAGAAGAAGAAGAAAAAAGGCGCGAGCATTCATTCTGGATTTGCACCTGTTGAATGGAGCGTACGTCGTCCCCGTTTTACGCCTTGAATTTACAGCCCTCAGCTGGAGGGACGACCTTTCACTCGGCCTCTATTGGAGAGCGGCAGCAGCTGTGATGACTTCACTGACTCCTTGTGTAAAAAGGGGTTCGGGAGGAGGGGAGGAGGGGGGGAGGAAGGGGGGGGCGGCTCTCCTTACACCTTGAACCTGATAGCAGCCTGATTTGACATCAGCTGTTAGTTTCTATCCGATTGAACTGGTTTCAAAGAAATACATGAAGTGGATAATAATAAATAAGTGTATTCATTTCTCCTCGTGGTCTCATTTGTGTCCATTCATATGACTGAAAGATGGGCAGGAAGAAACTCCCCCACAGTTTTGCATGTGTGGTCCTTGGCAAAAGAAAAAGTGACTCTTTTTTTCATTTTTTTTTCTTTTTATGAGGCCAACAGCTGTGTGAAGAGAAACATTTTCACTGCTGACTCATTACAAAGACCAGCTGAAAATCCCGTGCCAATTCATTCCTGGTTTGGCAGACAGAAAAGTAAGCGCCCTACGAGGAGAAATCGCCGCTTCGCGAAAGGCCGTTCTCGTCCCGAGCAGCTCCTCGTTGACCCGATGGCTTTTCCTCCGGAGCAGCTGTCGGGCCGGCGCGTCACGCGGCTGCGTCTCCCAAATACAGCCGGCTAATGAGGCCGGAGCTCTTGAGGACGGCACCGCGGCATCACGCCGCGCGGGAAGAGTACAGTACGGTACATAACATTTCACAAACTAGTGCGATCGACTGCATCTCGAGGTCTTTTCTGAGCAAGTCGTGAGACCTCAGAGTGGTTCTCCAGACCCAGAACAGTGCAGGTCAGACCTTTTGACCTCCCCCCATCCGCCACCCCTCTGGGTCGCTCCTCGGTCCCGTAAAGAGGGTTTTCTTGGGTCACGAGATTGTTCTGGACGAAAGAAGGCCCGCGGATCGCCGCCGAAATAGCCGCCGCTCGCGTCGCCGCACATTCCTGCTGGTTCGCATTACAGCGGCGATGTGGAGCAGCTGGAGTCGGGACGGGTTTAGTAACCGGTGACTCAAAGGGGCTGACGTTGCCTTCATTCAACGAGTCGGGGGCAGCTCGTGTCCTCCTCCTGCTGCCAAGCGGGTTCGTCGGGTCGAAGGGCGACTTTCGCCGAATAAGATCACATGCGCGCTGAAAATTAGTCTTTTTACTCTCTGTTCCACTTGTGTAAAATGGTGACCGAAGCACAAACAGACACAGAAAGCTATCCAAAAGGAAAAGGTGAGAAGTCACACACTGTAACCGATTGCTTTATTAGGAAGGAAGGGTTTGTTGGGGAGATGTTGGACAGTCATTCTAATGCATTGTGGGGTTTTTTGGGGGGCCGCAGCCAGCCAGTTTCCCCCGGTGACCTACTGTGAACTGTCGTTATCAAGTGACCTGGTTTGATCCACATCAGATGAAACGGGATTTCCACCAGCGGGAAACGTCACCGTTTCAGCAGCAGTGACTTCGGTGGCTGCTTGTCCTGTATAAATAGCAGCGGTGCATAAGCGAAAGCTCGCGGCAGATATGAGTGTGCAGCTAGGAGAAGCGCATGTGACCCAGCAGGCTTTCACCCCCGAGCCGGTTTTAGCGCGGCCCGGCGCTCGGATATCAGACCGCCGCGAATAGGGCCGGGATCACGTGAGGAGGCGCGGTGCCAGTTGGGTCGCGTCGGTTACGACCTCGCCCACATTTCTTCACTCTTAATGTCAGCCCCCGGGAAATACATTTCGTGGCTCCCCCCCCTCTTTCATTCAGCTGCCCAAGAAGTCCCGCCTGATCAGGTTTGGCGAGATCTCCGCTTCTGGCGTCACACCACATTCCACCAATAAACTGTATTTCTTGTTGTATGTGATTCCCCCCCCAACCACCTGAATAGTGTTTCCATATTTCCCTGTTTTTATTTAAGAATTTATCTTTTGTTATTACTCGATAAATTGAAAACAGTGGTGCATTATCCCACCGAAGACCAGCTGGGATCTAAGATCCTCCTTTTGTGACAGAACGTGACGCCAGTCGGCTGCCGTTTCTGCAGCAGATTCCGGTAAAAGAACCTTTTGGCAACAACTAATAGAAATTGCAGGCAATGTTTACCTCTGGCGCCATTACCCGAACCCTTCTTTTAATGTATATGTGTATTGAAAAGGCCCCTTCAGACAATAATGGCTTGTTTCGCTCCAACAACAACTCCTGACAAGTAATAAATAACTTGGTTCCACTTACAGCTATCCCTCGGGGGGGGGGTTGTCGTTTGAGGCGACTGGACTCACGTTGTGCATACAGGCATTCCACAGTGACTTTCCCCTGCGGACGCGCACGCGCAGACACGTAGCGGCGATGGCGTCGGGCTGAATTCAAAAAAGGGGAGCTCAGTTCCACTGAATGCGAAGAGTCCAGGGAGACTCGTACAGAAGCTTTGGGTGCCACAGTTTGCGGCGCTTTGGAGGCGCTCGTAGTGGGAAGGGAAGGGATTACGCGTCCGTGACCTCTCGTTACGTTACACGCATGCGCGTAAAGTATCCGTGTTCACAGGAAACGTCCCGTTGCTTTCCGATTAGTGAGCATTTGGTTCGTAGGCCGGTGCGTCTCCTGCGGACTAGGCGGCGGTATTTGACTGAAAAGGGGTTGTGTTACTCCATAGTCGCGCTTTAAAACTAACAAACGTGGGAAAACTGCACGGTTGCATGTTATTTAATGCCAATGATCATCTAAGAAAATAAATATTGAATTGGGCCTTTGTGGTCACACACGGAACGGCTTAAAGGATGATTTCTTTCTTTGTTCGGTATTTGTCTTCTTTTAACCTGTTTTATCAGATAAACTAACCAATACCCACCTGCACATTTGTCTTGTCATTCCAAACTCGGCCTCCACAATAAACACAAATGTGTTTTTCTCTCTTCGCTGTTATCTGACTTTAGCAGCAAATCTACAACGAACGTTTCCACAACTCATACTGAAAGAAGAGGCTCATTTGCAAAGTTGAAAGTCATACTTGCATTATGAAACTAACGTTAGCTCACACTCGTATCGCTACCCGATCATCTTCTGTCTCTGTTTTGCAGGGGCAGTGCAGTTGCAGACCCCCCCCCCCCCGTGCAGTCCCGTGTTTTACGGCCGCCGCCGCACTTACGACCAGCAGAGATACCGATCAGAATGGGAAGGATGCGACGCTGAATGCAGTCGGCGTTGGATTCAGTTTCACCGAGTCCTAAAACACACACACAAACACACAAACACCGCATGGGTTTTAATACTATCTACTTCCTCCTTTCTTCGAGGGGACACATACACCCTGAATGGGCCCCTGTGGTGATCTGCGTTGTGGTCGAGAGTGTTACAACTGCCACGCTGGTCTGCTTAAAGGGGCCGTGCTGCTGATCCTCTTTCAGGGGGTCCGTACGTCGCCGCAGCGTTTCAGGCTTCTGCACGGCTGCATGTTTCCGCCTGTTGTCAGTGAGCGAGTGCGTTCTTGTACTAATTGCATAAACTTTAGGAATCTATAATAGCTGGGGGGGGGCGGGGGGGGCTTGAGAATTTGAGAATCTAAAGAGAATTATTGATCCGTCCACAGCGAAAGTGAAAGTCGAATGGACTTTGTAAGTGTTTTAAGAAGCTGCACCCGTGTTTGAAATAAATATTTCACAGGTCTTTGTGTGAGTTTTCCTTTTCTTTCCCGTCACCCCGACGGCGGTCCCGGATGTTACGCATCGCCGCCTCCTGTTTACAGCTGCAGAGAGCGAAAGTGTTTCATCTGTACGTGAGCTCCTCGCGCTCCTCCCCGAGGGTCAATTACACGCGTCTTCACCTACTACAGAAGCTGAACCACAGCGCCGAGGAGTCGCCCTTCTTATGCAATTTGACATTATTGGCAAAACAATGTGAACGAACAAGCTGCTTTCGAATTTTCCATAAGTGACACAAACCTCAGTGAAGTCTTCCCGCAATCATAATAATTGGCTCATTTGAGAAGCATTTGAATGTCTTACGTTGACCAGCTTGATGTTATCAACGTTGAGTTTCATTCATCTCACGTTTCACCTTTTTAGGTTATGTGATGCTTATGATGAGTCCTCCATGCACATCGAATAGCTTTAGGCCAGCTGTTTCTCCCTGGAAATGCTAGGCTAAGCTAGCCTTCTGCGGTTAGCAGGAGAAGTGCAGCTGCGTGATCAACGTTGGGTCTCCGGGTTTGACCACGGAGCAGCTGTTGGTTCATGCTGTGACACGTGCGCAGCAGATACTTTTGGACGTGACCTCTTTCGACCCTCCGTATCGCTCAAGCGCTCATTGGACACCTGTTGCAACCGTTCCAGGTGGAGCTGTCTGAGTTCTGAGCTTTCTCTAGAAGAGAAGCCCGGAGGTTAAACAAACCAAAACATCATTAAAATTAAACCTCCCGTCAACTCCCACTCCCTTTTTCTTCCGAGGCGCAGGGACGTGCTGTTGTGCTTCACGTCCCACACAGGATTGCTACATGACTTCAGGTAATGAATGACCTGTAATGTAATGTAATGAATGAACGGGCCGAGGATGCCCACCCAGCAACGGGGGAAGCAGAGAGAACTCACAAACCCTCGCTCCCGGGGCGCTGAAGGATAATTGAGTTTCCCACCACTGAGTCACTTTGTGGTGATCAGGACGGTTTAACACACGCACGCACACGCGCGCGCTGCATGTGTGCTGCAGTAGAGAAACTGTTCATCACATCATTATTCATGTCATGCATCACACACATCAGCTGAAATGTAATACTTTTAAAAGGAAAATCATTACTTGAAGTTTGCATTAAGCTTGTTTTGCCTTTGGTTGATCACCGGGGCTTCATTTTGCTTTTAGAAATGTCCACATTTGTCACGTCTCTTCTCGCTCACAAGTGGGCTGGACTTGGGATGTCACGTATTTCCTGTCACCAATCAGATATTTGCAACATTTGAATCAAAACAGTCAGAAAATGAGAGTTGGAGTGGAATAGTTCATTAGCAAATTTTTTTTGTGAACTTAAGCACCAACCTTTTATTTACAACGAGATCTGCGGAAAACTAAATACTTTGTGCAACAAAGTTAAGTGGAGATGTGCTCACAATGCGCTGCCTTCCTTTGAAGCTCTTTAAAAGTCAATATAACTGAGCCTGACGTGTCATTCTCAGGTTTTACAGGCCCACAAAGGGAGCACGGTGAAGTGAAAGAGGATCGAGTGATAAAACGACATCACGCGAAGGAGGAGTCAGACCGCTTCTGCAGTAGTTTCATTTAGTCATTTCTGTACAGAAAATGAGAAGCTCTTTTAGCTTATAGACTGGAAACGATGGGAAACCGCTAGCTTAGCTTCGTCCAAAGGTATCAAACCATCACCTGGATTCACACGATTAATACACAACTTGCTTAAAACAATTCAATTAAAACTGATCCTGTTCGTAAAGTAGAATTTAAAACCATTTGTTTAACATAGAGATTCACTTGCCACTTGCTTCACACACTTAATGGGTCTAAAAAAAAACACTTTCTAACAAGTTTGTATAGATTTAAAAGATTAGAAGACAATTGTAATTGCATGTCAAATACGTATTTTTGTTCTGGCTATCCTGTCCAACATCCTACATCCCATTAGAACCAATGTACGTTAAATCTATTTGATTTATTAGTCAAGCTATTTTATAGCTTCAAATGGCCAAGCAGCTATTGACGAACACACATTATACATTAGTGACCCAAATGCAGTAACTGATGTTACACTTTATTAGAATGGGGGGGAAAAAAAGAAATGGCTGCATTCCAATAGTCATGTCGCGATCATCCAGCGCTGTTCAGTGGGGGAAAATGTCCCGACTGTCTGACCTCATAGTAGCTGGTCCGGCCTCGGCTCCCGCCCTCCGCCCTTTGATGTGGCTGCTCTGTTTGTTCACCAGCGCCAGCGGTCTGCTCGCTCCCATTCAGCAATCTGCCTCTTGCTAAATCCCTCCCTCCCTCCGACCGGGCGGCAGCCGCATTGTTTGCATTTTACACCGAGAGGTGAGAAACATGCAGCCTCTTCACACCTCTGGGGCCTGCAGAGCGCATTCTGCAGAAATCAGCCGACTTCTCACCTGCTTTTAAGTCCATCGTGGGCCCTCGTGATGTCGCTGCTTCTAAGATCACCAGTGAGTTCGCGAGTATGTGTGAGCATCATCGGTGACACCTCAACTTGCCAGTCGTATGCAACTGGAAACCTCCAGTGAATAATACACAGAGGATGGACTTCCCAGTGAAGTAGGACTCATCTTGTGCCCTGTAGTTAAACTTTTTAACAAATAAAAATGGGCAGATTTGGATAGAAACAAAAAAAAATCTTGACTGCTCTGAAATAACCTGCAGGGTTCGGCAGTTTTATTTATTTATATTTGCTCAAGGTGCTTTCCGACTGGACCTGTGAAACCGCGATTACAAGAGAAGCACAAACTACCTGAAACCACGACGCGCGCACTGATGATACATACCTCCAGTTTTCAAATCGATCAGGAAATGCTGAAAAAACGGCCGTGATCACAGCTTTTAAGGGCGGCGCCTTTGCAAAGTGTGCAGAGTTAGAAAAGCGCGTCGAGAGGAAAAGCTCTCAGTGTCTTTATGAATCAACACTTAACTGGAACTATTAAAGGAGCAGAGTTTAAACACTGTTTGGTTACTCATCGGCATTCCAGGCCGGAACAATCGAGCACACTTTGTTCAATATTTACATTTATGGAGGATTTGTTTGCTTTACCACACCGAGCAGCTCAATCATGAATGCAGTAATACAACGTGTAACTGCAGCGCAGTCAGTGGTTTTACAATTCATTGACGAGGAGACGCAGCAGCTGAAACTGAAGAGAGGAAACCATCAGCTTAAGTTCCTCTCGACAACCCCGCCAGCACCATAAATGGAAGGAGCTTCATTCACAAATTTGCACCCTGTGAACCCGTGACGTGGCCCAGTGGCAGGAGGCGAAACGGAGCACTTCTTTTTTTCCACTACTGTAAAAAGTTGAACACAAGCGACGGCAAACATCTTTCTTTGACGGATGGCCTTCGTTAGACTTTTCTTTTCTTTTTTTTTTGGGGGGGGGGGGTCACAAACTGCATTCCTTTTTTTAAAACAATTGCATCATCCTGCACAGCGCGCTGCGGTATTCGTTAAATGTGGCTCCGTGGATCACGTTTCAGAGGGTTGGAACTCACTGACTTTTCGGTATTAGAGCGCGTAATTCAGTTTGCGGTGACTTTATAGCCGAGTGTTTTACTACGAAAGGTCAGTGAGTTTGTGGTGAGATGGAAATAGAAAAGGCCCATTGAGCATTAGTACGTCTTCATCAGCAAATCTTCAATAATTATAGCAACTGCTCAGACCTCCAGTCACATAATGCTTTTATCTAAAGCATCCGGTCCATGTTGACTACACGGATGTGCACTCTTTTTTTACTTTTTCTTTATCTCCCTTGCATCAAGTAATATTATACAGCCGCCCTCACCACAAATTATCTCATTGATCTCCCCCCTTCTTTTTACTCCGCTATCAGAGGTACAACACTCCCCGGAGTCTGCAGGAGAGCGTGCAGATTAACAAGCTTAAGGTGAGCGTTCCCAGGGCTCGCCGCGCAGGGCGGCCGTGGGAGGTCTCCTGAGTGCCTGTGACTTGGCATGAGCGCGTTCCAAAGTATGCCCTCTCCTAAGTCAAACACCGGCACAGGCCGCTACTTGCTCCTGTCCAACTGATGTGCCCGCCCACACGTGGGAAAGCGCCGTCTCCGCGGGACCGGCGCGGGCGCTTTTAATTCGTTTAAGCCCGTCGCTTTGTTTGGGTTGAGGAGATTTCTTAAGATAACATTGTGTACCGTGAGGCACGGTAAAAGGCTATTAGGTCCCCAGGGCATTCAAACAGCGGGCCTTTTTGATCAAAGGCTTGGCCCGAAGTCACAAATAACGATGATGCGATGAGTGAAAGTGAATTTAACGCAGCTGAGCGAGCCCCCGCCCCCCCCCCCCGCCCCCGTATACACAGCTGTCACAGACTGTATAGATTTAAACCGCTGTGCATTTCAAACCGCGGTGAGATGCAGGCCCCCGGATGCTGAGCTTTTTGACTTGATTCATTTGGGCTGATGGCGGAGCGGTGATTGGAATTCATCATTCGTGTACAGTGGGACTCTGTTGGCTATCAAACATTCAGATAACGGCTTTGGACAAGACCCCCGACGTTTGCGGCGTGTGTTTTCATCAGCAGATGTTTTATTGGGGAAAAACCCGGCACAGGATGAAGACGTGTTCACCGAGAAGGTGAAAAGAGTCAACTTTAACCTTAAAATAGGAATCAACGTGCTGCAAACCAACACTCTGCGCCCCGTATTCATATGAGCGCTTGGTACTTGCTGGATAGTTGTACCTGGTATAGTGTGATGTCGTTGTGTGATGCATCAGACTCTGATCTCAACATTTACTCCAGCTCTCTGTTATTTTTATCCCGACCCCTTTCCTCTTTTATTGGCCATAAAACAAATTGTTGGGTTGTACACTTATATCTAATTTTATATACAGTCGCGACTCGTGGAAATGTTATTTTAAAGCTTGATTTTTCTCTGTGACGAGGAATTTGTAGGCCCATGCGTAACATTGTGTGGTTATGAAATGTTTTGTAACTG